TTCGCACGTCCACACGCATAACTGTGGCATCGCGACACTTGACTGTCGAGTACTGGGCACGCGTGCGCGTTACTGGGCGCGTTGACGCTGCCTGCGTACTCGCTGGGCCTGCCGGGTACGCCTGTGCGCACGCTATGCGCGGTAGGCATCACGGTCGACATTTCGCCGGTCGTCCGGCTACTTTTTCCGGCAATCCACACATAACTGATTATGTTTTGACTTAAAATGACAGAAAATACATAGATTACTCGGGACTTGCCGGTTCTATTTTAAAATTACTCGAAGAGAACTTATATAGCATCTCCGAGGCTGTTTTGCATCAAAACATAGACCGAACAACATGATTTCGACATGACTTCATTAACATGAGCTTAACTACATAAAAAGAGGGTAAGGGAATATATACCCTTCAGTTCGGTCAAAGATTGCACGGAGATGTGCTTGCGTGTTCGTGCTTGACTTTGGTGTCCGAGTGCTTCCTCTTTGCTTCCGCAATGCTTAGCTATTTTTATGTGATTTTTCTCTTATTTTTCCTTACTGATTTCTCTCTCAATATATATGCTGAAGTTGGTCGAATTTAGTGAATGAAAATGCATGGAGAAGACGTCCATGCTCGGTTATTTATTAGTGATGAAAACCGTGAGGTTAAGTTGAGTCAAAAGAGGTGAAGTATGACGCCTTCTTCTCTTGACAACAAGTGTCCAACACGTGTGCTGAGGTGGGATACTTTTGGCTTAGTCGTTGTCGAGGTGGCACGCATGCACGGGCTTAGTCATCGCCCGTGTGCTTGCGTGGTGCCATGTGTATCAAGCAAGTAGGTGACTCATGGTTACCACTTGCATCCAAACTCTCTCCTTTGAAATTTCCTCACGGCACTTACTTAGAAGTTGGAACATAATTACTTAACATGATCATTGTGCTAAGCATTGCATAAACGTGCGCTTAAGGGGCTTAACCGTGCGTATGCGCGGTAACGTGCACTATGCACGATCGCGTGCACGGTCGCGTGTTTACATGCACGCACGGCCATGCACGGCGTGTGTGCCCGTGGGCGTAGATAATGTACCTTGTGTACATTCGTGACTTAACTTGTTTTAACCTTCGAACCTAATTTCCGAACATTCTTAACATTCAATAATTAATCCCGATTAATAATGTTCGTTTATAAAATAAACGGTTTGGAAATTAATTATCGAATTTGACTCGGTTAATAATTAACCGGATAAACCTTTCGACTTAATGTGGAACGTAATTGCTGAAAATGAACGAAATTAATAAAGGATAATACATCATTTATATTAACAAGAAGTTGGGTTATTACAATCTACCCCCCTTAAAATATTTCCGTCCTCGAAAATATAAAACAAAACATATATATATGTACATGAAAGATATACACATCAAAACTGAAAGTCAGGAAAACGAGCGCGAATGTCTGCCTCCTGCTCCCAAGTGGCTCCGTGGCGATCCCACTGAATACGAATGAGGGGAACATTACGTTTCCAGAGCCGTCGAACCTGTCAGTCCAACACAGCTACCGGTCGCTCCTCGTAAGATAAGTCTGGATGAATCTCAATATCAATGTGAGGAATGACATGATCAGGGTCACACACGTACTTGCGTAACATAGATACATGAAAAACATTGTGAACACTGGATAACTCGGGAGGTAAGGCTAAACGATACACAACATCGCCCACTCGCTCAAGTACTTCGAACGGGCCAATGAATCGATGGTGTAACTTCCCTCTCTTCCCGAATCGAACAACTCCGCGAAATGGACTAACTCTGAGAAAAGCGTGCTCGCCAACCTCGAATTGGATATCTCGTCGATGATGATCGGCGGTTCATTTCATTCTGCTCTGAGCTGTCCTGAGTCTCTGCCGGATCAACTCGACTTGCTCGGCTGTCTCCTCGATCAGCTTCGGACCGAGTACTCGACGTTCACCGACGTCGTCCCAATAAAGAGGGGAATGACATTTACGACTGTATAATGCCTCATAACGAGCCATCTGAATCGAATAATGATAACTGTTGTTGTACGCAAACTCGACGTACGGCAATAACGACTCCTATTTAGCACCCCTGTCAACAATCAAAGCGCGTAACATATCCTCCAACGTCTGTATAGTCCGCTCCGTCTGTCCGTCAGTCTCGGGATGGTAGGCTGAACTGAAGGCTAGCTTCGTACCCATCGCCTCGTGTAAACTCTTCCAGAATCTACTGGTGAATCTGGGGTCTCTGTCTGACACGACAGTAACAGGTACTCCATGGAGTCGAACGATCCCACGGACATAAATCTCAGCCAATCGATCCAAAGACATACTCATCGATACTGGCAAGAAATGAGCAACCTTAGTCAATCTGTCGACCACGACCCAGATAGCGTCGTGATGTTCAGACGACCTCGGTAACCCCGTGACAAAATCCATCGCAACCTCCTCCCACTTCCACCTCAGAATCGGCAGTGGTCGTAGAAGGCCTATGGGACTCTTATGCTCGGCTTTGACTTGCTGACAGGTTAAGAATCTTTTTACAAAGTCGGCCACGTCTTTCTTCAATCCTCTCCACCAAAACGACCCTTTCAGGTCATGGTACATCTTTGTACTTCCTGGATGGGGTAGATAGGGTGCGGTATGAGCCTCAGATAAAATCTCCTTTCTCAATGCTTTGACTTTCGGCACCACAATCTTGCCACGAAACTCCAAGGCCCCATCAGTGCCTCGGTGAAAACCCTCGATGCCTCCGGCATGAACCTTGGCATCAATCGTACGAATAAACTCATCTGAAGCCTACTCTTGCTGGATTCTCTCCCTCAGCATCGGCTGAACCTGCATGGAACTCACACTCCCCGTACTGGCGGTAGGAAGTGCATCAATTACCTTAATTTGCATCCGGGCGAACTCTCGTATCAACTGACTCTGCTGAGTAACAACGTATGCCAAGTCACCCTTCACCTTATGGCTTAGGGCATCAGCAACAACATTCGCCTTTCCCAGATGATACTGAATCGTACAATCATAATCCTTGACGAGCTCTAACCAACGGCGCTGTCTCATGTTGAGCTTCTTCTGAGTAAAGATATATTGTAAGCTCTTATGATCGGTAAAGATTTTGCATTGACCGCCGTATAGATAGTGTCGCCAAATCTTAAGGGCATGAACAACTGCAACTAATTCCAAGTCGTGCGTCGGATAGTTCTGTTCATGTGGTTTAAGCTGGCGTGACGCATAAGCAACGACCTGGCCATCTTGCATAAGTACACATCCCAAACCCTGCCTCGAAGCATCACTATAGATGGTGAAGCTCCGAGAAGGATCTGGAATAGTCAACAGCGGTGCCGTCGTAAGCCTCCTTTTCAGCTCCTGAAAACTCGACTCACAACGGTCTGTCCATTCGAACTTTACAGACTTCCTCGTCAGCTGAGACAAAGGGAGGGAAATCTTCGAGAATCCCTCAATAAATCTGCGTTAATAACCTGCAAGGCCGAGGAAACTACGAACCTCGGACGGATTCTTCGGTGCTAACCAATTCTGAACTGCGGCAATTTTGGAAGGATCAACTTCAATACCTTCTGAAGTAATAATGTGGCCAAGAAAGGCCACTCGCTGAAGCCAAAACTCGCACTTGGAGAACTTTGCATATAACTTCTCACGTCTAAGGGTCGAAAGAACGGCCCTTAGGTGTTCCTCGTGCTCCTTCTGGCTCTTGGAATAAATAAGAATATCATCGATGAAGACAATAACGAACTGGTCGAGAAAAGGATGAAATACACGGTTCATCAAGTCCATGAATACTTCCGGGGCATTACTGAGGCCAAACGGCATAACCACAAACTCGAAGTGACCATATCTCGTACGAAAAGCTGTCTTGGGTATGTCTGATTCCTTGATTTTCAGCTGATGGTAGCCTGAACGCAAATCAATCTTGGAAAACACGCAGGCACCCCTCAACTGATCAAATAAATCATCGATCCTGGGAAGCGGATATTTATTCTTGATCGTCAACCGGTTAAGATCCCGGTAGTCGATACACATACGCATGGATCCGTCTTTCTTCTTGACAAAAAGAACTGCTGCTCCCCAAGGAGAAACGCTCGATCGTATAAAACCGAGATTCAGCAACTCTTGAATTTGGGTCTTTAATTCCTGCAATTCTTTAGGCGCCATTCTGTACAGTGCCTTTGAAACGGATCCGGCTCCAGGGATAAGATCAATAGAAAATTCCACCTGTCGGCTAGGTGGACCTCCGGGAAGCTGGTCTGGAAACACGTCCACGAACTCACGAACGATAGGAATGTCATGAGGTGAACGTGCCTTTGGCTCATCTCCAACGAGGCTCACAAGATAACCCTGGCAATCACCCCGTTGAAGAATCTTTCTAGCTTTCGCCATAGAAATAACATGAGGTAGAGTACGAGTTCTAGAGCCGTAATAAGTGATTTGATCATCTCCCGGAAGATAAAGAGTAATCTGCCGGTCGTGACATCGAATATCTGCGTGAAAACGTGTTAGCCAATCCATATCGAGTATGAGGTCAAAATCCCTCATCTCGATAACATAAGCATCAGTAATCAGAATACGACCGCCAATGGAAAGGCTGAGATCGGTGGCTCTAGCGTCAGTCACTATCTTTCTTCCTGAGGCTAAACTCACCTCGAGAGGATCGACAGCGGTAGTGGAACGAACCCCAATAGCTACGAGACATCGGCGTGATATAAAAGAATGGATCGCTCCGGTATCAAATAAGGCATAGACAGGCACATCATTAAGAATAATCATCCCGGACATGGTACCTGGGTGTTGGTCGGCCTCCCTCTGGTCAACTGCAAAGACGCGGGCCTGCTGTCTGCCGTGTGGCTGTTGCTGGGGTCGTGGTGGCTGCTGCCTGGGCTGTTGTTGTTGAAGTTGCTGTGGTGGTTGACGTTGTTGTGGTTGTTGTTGCAGTCATTCAGGGCAGTTGGGGCTGATGTGGCCTGGCTGGCGGCAAAAGAAACAAACATTCTGGCCCACGAGGCATTCTCCACGGTGGTGTTTCCCGCATGTTGGGCATTCTGGTATTGTTTTCTGTCTTTGGCGGTTTCTGCGATTGTCTGGACCCCCTTTGAACTTCATTTTATTCTTGTTTGTTGATGGTTGGGCAACTTTGGGCTGGGCTGGTGGCTGAGCAACTGGCTGGACTGATGTCTGGGCGGCTTCTCGTCGGATACTGGCATCGACTTCTTGTGCAATGGCAACTGTGCAGGCGTAGGTCTGGACTCCGTGACCTATGATGTTGTGGCGGACTGCTGGGCGAAATCCGTCGGTGAAACGGTGGGCTCTCTTCGCCTCCGTACCCACAAGATCAGGTACAAAGGCTCCGAGACGGGTAAACTCTCTTTCGTACTCGTCGACAGAACGAGTACCCTGGGTGAGTGCCAAGAACTGGCGCTCCATGTCTGCTCGGTAATACGAGGGATAATACTTCTCTCGAATTAGCTCCTTGAATTGGTCCCACGTACAACCGTCTTTTTCACCGGGACGCATACTCCAATAGGCATGACACCAGAGTCGGGCATCACCGGTCAGCTGGATCTGGGCACATAACATGCGATAACGATCAGGGCAGTTCATGACCTCGAAAACAATCTCGAGGCCCTGAACACATTCATCTACTATACGAGGATCTCCTTGGCCGGAAAACTTTTCTGGATGGTAGTCGCGAAACTGGGCGACCACTGTGGCCTGTGGGAGTTCCTGGTGATCTGGTTCTCTACGAGGAGGCATCTGAACACTGAAATATTTAACACGATTAATTAACATAAGAGATTAACTGACTAACTGCTTAAGTACACAAATCTCTTGACGAGTCTCTAAATAACCCGAGAATACTAAAGTCGAACTATCAAATGACTGGGACAATCGACTAAGTTCTTGAGCTTCTTAGTGGTTTCTAGGGTCAAATTCTGATACCCTCTTACTGAGCATAGACTTAAGTATTCGTTTAAATACATAAACTATAACTCAGCACTTACCTGATAGTCGGCGAGGCATGATCATAGCGTGGTCGGGTCTCTTCTGAAAATTTCTGACTTTAAAAGTATTCAGATACACGAAAATGTGCTCTGATACTAATTTGTAACACCCCACTAGCTTACTAAAATCAGAGTGCGATTTTCGCAAATTCTTTTCTAAAGTTTACGTTTTAGTTTGCGAAACATATCTCGGGATGCTACACCAAAATATTTCTTTTCTAAAAATCCGTTAACTTTATTAATTTTTAAAACCCATTTATGAAAAACGGATTATCTTTTATAAAACAAGCGTATGATACTGTATAAAACTTGATCCCAAAGCTCGAATCGTTGTCTGAAAATTTACACGCTAGTTTGAAAGTCTGAAAACGTTAGCGGAAGTAAAACGTGGCATATATATACATGTCAACAGTCTGCAAAAATATATACATATTTACATGTACTAGACCGGCGACCACCAGCTCCACTCACTCCTCCGGACCGACTCTGTCACCTGAAAAGATCATAATAGTGGGAGCGTGAGTACTAAAAACACTGTACTCCGCAAAAACTCATACTAAAGTAAACATTAATAATAATATCAATATCATGACTACAGGTATATATAAGTAAACTGTAAACTCCAGACACAAGGTCTGTAACTGAACTGAACCTCCTCGGACACTATGTCCGTCCATGTGCACATTCCGATGGCCTATTAACGCTACTGCGCATCCACCGGCACTCGGGATGGCCTATTAAGGCTACTGCGCCTCCACCCAGAGTGGAATAACTCATAT